TTAGCTCAGTGGTTCCGCCGCCTGCCTTGCAAGCACAAGGACCCTAGTTCGATCCCTGGTACCAAAAAAAAAAAAAAAAAAAAAAAGTTCTATTAATGGGAAAGGCTAAAACAATGGTTCTATACAGGACACAGTTGTTATTCTTAACCTTATGAGAACCCAAATCTACTGAATTATACAGAGTTAGCACAGACATATACACATATATCCCTGATCAGCTTAAGACAATGTGTTAGTTTGCTCTTTTAAGTGGTAAGAATATTTTAGTAACCAGCAAAAATCACGCTTAGGTAGTCACCAATTTTGAAAGTGTTCTTAATGTATAATCTTGTTGCCCTCAAAAGAATATATCACCAAGTAATAAAAGTCATTAGTATTGTCTAACTTCCTATGTTAATGGTTAACTGAGAATTTATATACTATCCTGTGGAAGTAAATCAACCTCTACTTTAGTTCCAAATCCACGATATGTGACTCATTTATAGGGACGCAATAATGTTGATCAAATCTTGCCACCTCAAACATAACTGTATTCAGTAAAAACCTTACACAGGCTATAAAGTGGGTATTAGATCTGTCTTAGCATTATAAATGACATCAATTATTGTCCAGGTAGTGACATATAAAACTTTCCCCTCTTTATTTTAAAGAGTACAAAATTATATGTCTACACATTATTTTATGGCAATATTTTTAAGTCTACAAACTTTTGAAACAGATAACTGTGTACTCAAAAATTCACAAGTCCAATAAAACAAGTTTGTGGTTTCCTTCTTGACAGTCTTTATAATTCTTCCATCTCGAAGTGTGTATTAAAGCTGTTTGCCATAGATGTATGTTCAAAGATCCTTGAAAGGCTTGGTTTTAACAGTTCTACTGAGTGACATGAAAGATGCTGAGAGTTGTCATTCTTCAGGGACATCATTTGGCCTGTCCCAGGTTCTCTTCTATCATAATACAGAGCCCAGAGGAGAGTAATGGTGAGAATCATGGCCAGGATTTGTGTCACTCCAATGGAGATTCCCAGAAACCTAAGTATTTGCAGTTGTTTGGTTCCTCTCAAAAAGGAGTACATTTTCTTCCCACAACCCTGTAAAAGAAATAGCATGACCAATATCACTGTGGATATATTACAGTGGCTCAAAAAAAGTGAAAACAAAATTCTGCATCAGTTAAGTGAATAATAAATTTTAAGACAGTGACTTTCAACAAGGAAATGCTATGAGAACATGGAAAGGAGGCATGCACCTTTAGAAAAGCCTGCTTAGCTGATTCTGATGAGCATCTTTTGTTTCCCACACAACTAGAAATTGAGTCTCACCAATATGAAATTCAATCTCTAGAGCAGAGGGGTTGGCAAGTGTTTATTTTTTGATAAAGAACCAGAACCAGAGATTAAAAATAGTTTAGGTTTTACAGGCCATATAATCTCTACTGCAATTACTTATTTCTGTCAGTATAATACAAAAGCAACCATATACAATATGTAAATGAATGGAAGTGGATATATTCTAATGAAATGTCCAAGCATACCCAAAGGCACTGGGCCAGAGTTGGTTCACAAGCCACAGACTGCTGACCCCTGACTTGAGATTGATCCAAACATTAAAAAAAAAATTAT